TTTAGACAATATCAGGTGTATGCAGGGTTTTAAGCCTGTTTCAATGGTCCATCATTCTCTTTATTTCCATAATCTTTGTGTAGAGGAAGAAAAAAGAATGATGGGTGACTACTTGCATTATGATCTCTTTTTTTTGATAAATAACCAAACTTTATTAAAAAGCATCAAGATGATACAAATAATACAAATAAGGAAGCCAAAGAGGCGACACAAACAAATGAACTAACAAATCAAATCTTCCACAAATTCAACAAAAGCCAAAACATTCGGATCAACCGATCTAGTCACCCAACCATACAAAATCGTAAAAAGCCGCCGTTCTAACCAAAGGACTGAATGAGACAACCCCTGAAAGACGTGCCTATTTCGCTCCAACCAAACCAACCAAAGAATACAATGCGAAGCAAGCATCCATGCCTTCCGACGTCTCCTACCAACACGGCCCCCTACCCAACTATGCAGAACTGCTTGAACCGATGCCGGCTGCACCCAAGCCAAACCAAAAGTCGCAACAACTAACACCTAAAGGCGAGAAGACAAGGGACAATGAATGAACAAATGGTCCACTGACTCCGCAGCACCACAACACAAACAACACCAATTAACCAATATGTGGCCACAACGAATTAAATTATCCAAGGTCAAAACATGGCCCAACATAGCTGTCCACACAAAAAAGGCCACCTTAGATGGCGTACCTGGGACCCAGACACACTTCCAAAGGAAAGCAACCTCCTCCACATGAGCAAGCACATGATAAAAAGAAGAAATGGAAAAAATCCCCTTAGCCCCAGGACAGTCCCAAACCAAAGAGTCCTGTCCGTCCTCACCCACTTGCAACTCATATAAAAAAGCCAACAACTCCACCAGCTGACCTTGCTCCCAATCCTGAACATCACGACGCAGGCCGACATTCAAAAAAGTCGAACCCCCCTAGCCAGACCACACAGCACCCACATTCCAAAAAGTCGAAACCCCTTGGCCAGACCACACAACACCCATCAAAACCTCAGCATCAACGGCAATTCCAAAAACCAAAGGGAACCACTCTTCTAAAGTGAGATCACCACACCACCGATCGCGCCAAAACCGAACCCTATCCCCTACCCCAACCTTGAGCTTCACCCGCTTCCAAAACTCCTCCCACCCCAACCAGATCCCCTTCCATAGGCCAAAACCATGAGAATGCCCTACCCGCCCCGAACACCACCCGCCTTGCCCCACACCAAACTTTGCAACCACTACCCTTTGCCAGAAGCTGTCATGCTCTACCACAAACCACCACAACTATTTACCCAACAAGGCTATATTGAATAAGACCAGCCTGCGAATCCCCAAACCCCTCTGAACCTTGGGACGACAAATCCGATCCCAGGCCACCAAAGGATAATGGGAACCCTCCCCCCCCCGAACCCCACAAGAAATCCCTCTGCAATTTCTCTATCCGCTTGGCTACTGACACCGGGATCACATGGACAAACATAAAATATGTCGGGATGGAAGATAGAACACTCTTAATCAACGTAAGTCTCCCTCCTTTTGACAAATATTGCCGCTTCCAACCTGCCAACCGCCGCTGCACACGGTCCACCACCCTATCCCATACCCCTGTGGCCTTAAAAGACGCCCCCAAAGGTAAACCCAAATACATAACTGGCAAAGTGGCCACTTTACACCCGAGAATAGCTGCCAGTACCAAAATCGTAGCCACCTCCCCCACTGGGATCAGCTCGGACTTTGCTAAGTTCACCCGAAGCCCTGAAACGACCTCAAAACACAATAACACACATCTCAAATACCCAATTTGATCCACATCCGCATCACAAAAAATAAGAGCATCATCGGCATAGAACAAATGAGAAACCGACAAATTAGCAGGATCCTTTCCCACCGCAAATCCTCGCAACCGACCTCCCTGCACCGCTCTAGATAACAGCCCAACGCTTCCATCACCAGAATAAACAATAAAGGAGATAAAGGGTCTCCTTGCCGGAGCCCCCTATAAGTAGGAAAGAATCCCTTGGAGACCCATTCACAAGAACTGACATCCGCACAGTAGAAATACAGAATTGGATCCAACGCCTCCACCGAACCCTAAAACCAAGCCTGTCCAACATATATAGTAAAAACTTCCAATTAACATTATCATAAGCCTTCTCAATATCAAGTTTGCAAATAAGGCCCGCCCGCCCTTGATGGATTCGAGAATCCACACATTCATTTGCCACTAAAACTGTATCCAGAATTTGCCGGCCGCCCACAAAAGCATTCTGAGACTCCGAAACCACCCCTTCCAACACACCTCGTAACCTATTAGCCAACACTTTCGCCAAAAGCTTATACATACTACCCAACAGACTGATTGGACGAAATTCCCGAATATCCTCCGCCCCACCCTTCTTTGGGATTAAAGCAATAAATGTGGCATTAAGACTACGCTCAAACTCACCAGTCTGATGAAACTGCTCAAACATTGCCATCACATCGGCTTTCACCACCTCCCAGCAATGCTGAAAGAATGCTAAAGTAAAACCATCGGGACCCGGCGCCTTATCCCCAAGCATACTACGCAAAGCCTCCAACACCTTCTCTTCTGAGAACGGGCTCTCCAACCGACAACTAACCGCGTCTGAAATTACATCGAAAGAAACACCATCCAGGCTTGGCCTCCATACCTCCCCTCATCCCGAAACAGGTGCTCATAGAAGCCCACAATTCCGGCCCTAACCGCATCTGAAGAAGACAGCTGCACATCATCTACACGCATACGACTTATCTGATTCACCCTCCGATGGGCATTTGCTACTCGATGAAAAAACTTTGTATTACGATCGCCATCTTTTAACCACAAGCATCTAGATTTTTGCCGAAAACTAATCTCCTCCATACGGGCAATCTGGCCAAACTTCTTACGAACCTCAACACGACGACGAAGATCAGCCGCAGACAAAATCCCTCAAATTCTTTGACGTCCAATTCCTGTAACACCGCGAACACAGCAGCCTTCTGAGCCTCCAAGCGACCAAACACTTCCTTATTCCATCTCTTCAACTCGGACTTAAGAAGTTTCAATTTCTGTGCCAGACGACAACTAGGCAAACTTGAGAGCACATAACTATCCCACCAGCCCTTAACCCGCTCTAGAAAACCCTCAGACAACAACCACATGTTCTCAAACTGAAACGGCGATGGCCCACTCCGGATACCCCTACTATCCAATAAAA